ATATATATATATATATATATATATATATATATATATATATATATATATATATATATATATATTAAATATTATGACATTGCAGATGATCACATCATTAGTTAAAATACTGAGTTTACTGAGACAATGCCTTTCTTTAACGAATTAATAAGCATTGACTCAAAGTTGCATTGACAACGTAAAGGGAAGAGTTGCTTCCTTCTAAATGTATACCCGGTAGGTTTAAATAGACTAATCACAAAAATAAATAAATCACAACAAATCGTTAGAATTGATAATTTAGATTTCTTTAAATATAAATAGTCAAAAAGTAAATCTTGGCAATCCACAATAACTAAAATATATTTCAGTATAACATGGGGCTTACTATTTTTAACTTTGTGATATTTAACGCTTTTAAGTTCCCGTCTTTCTGGAAAGAACCCTTGATAATCTTTTCCCCATTCTCATTAATAATTCATGAATAAATATTTTTTATGTAGGCCTACCGAGTTAGAGTCAAATGTAAAATACATTTTAATTTCATCTACATTTAAGTTGTTTTAAAAAGACACATATTTGTTTTGTTATTTCATTTAACAATGAACAGAATTTCTTTATTTTCACAGTTTAGGAAATCATGTATATGCCTTTGCCTTTGTTTTATTATGGTACATGACCTTCCATACTTAGTCGACAAACCATTTTAGACCTAACTATGAATACGCTTTGTCTCGGATCCTTCTAGTCATAAATTTTTAATATATTAAGCAATGTAAAAAGCGAAATCTTAATTCTTTTAATTTTTATTTAAATTCCCTCTAATTTGTTTAATATTTCGCAAGGCAATTTTGTTAGAAAGTTTAACACAGACCACAAATAAGCCTAACCAAAACAAAAAATGAAAATACATTTCTTGGGATAAAATAATAAGTTAATAATTAAGTGAACTAGGCCTGCTAGGGGAGGACACTCTCAGATATTTTAAAAATAAAACTTGATTGAAGAAACCCACTTGCTACTAAGTTAACTTCCTCTACTCAGTGGTCGTTGTGATGCTTTCAGATTTAGTTATATAATTAAGTATTACTGACTGCATCCTAAACATATTGCTCGGCAATGAAGTATCTCATTTTCTTTAATAGCTTTTTATACAAAGTTCCATTCTTTCAAATTAGTTCAATTAAGCTATTTTCCACCAAGTCCAAGGTAGGTAGTAAAAGTAAAAGTTACATTTACATCAATTACAAACCGACTGATACAAGTGATAGTAGTGAGTGTAAGTAGTATTATATATATTATATAGATATATATATATATATATAACATTACATATAATATGACTTACATTAGTTAGCCTACGTCACATAATTACTCATATTACACGAAGTGTCTACACATCCAGCGCGCCGGACAAATAGTGCGGGAGATATACATCCGACTGGCATGTCACTTGACCGTCGCACAACTGTCCTGGAAGGCGTTATTATTCCGGCAGGTCATGTGTAAGTGGTCGCCGGCAAAATAGTTGCATTGCATTTGATATTCTGATCCCTAGATAATGAATAAATGCTGAACGTGTAAATATATTCAAATGCCCTGAGATACATAAAGTGTTTGACTTTGAATATTAAACTAGTTCGCCTACATACTAACTAGTAGTACTATTACTACTACTATTACTAGCCTATTTGATTCCGACTCTTCAAAGAAAAAAGTCCCTTATCTTGGTTAAACATTTTGTAAAGCTCTACCTTGACTTGAAGCCTAAATTTAAAATATGAACAAAATAAAATAAGACCAGTAGACTTCAACAGACCTATGTCACTATGTCAATGAAGTTGTATTTCAAGATTAGTATTGCTTGAGAAGTAGGCTAGGCTACCACTATAACATCCCTATATTATGATCTAGGGTCTATTTCTTTGTGAACTATCTGCCTCCTTAATTTTTTATCATCCTCACTATTATTTTTTTTTTAGCATTTGTATTTTTTTTATTGCCGTAATTCTCTCGCCCTCTCAGCTTTGCTTCCTTCTAGAATGCATTATTGCTATCCCCCAATTTGTTTTGGTATTTTTTTCTATTATTTGTTTGCTAGATACTCAGTACTTGATAGAGAGATAGATTTTAAAATTAACAATAGTTTTGCATCATTCGCGATCACGTGACAAGGCTGACGGACAACTATCTCACATCACATTGTTACCGAGGTCATGTGACTTGGATGCCGGACAAATATCTTGATAAACTCGGATTAAGTATTCGACGGGCGGTCATGTGACTTGGTCGCCGGACAAATAGTGCGTGAGAAATACGTCCGGCAATTAATTTTAACTGTGGACAATGAATTGATTAACTGTAACCTAATTAAAATTATTATTATTCATTCAAAAAAATAAGTTATACGAATTTAAGAAAGTTTAAGAAACATTTTACTTTAAAAAATTACTTAATTTTATACTTCTTTAACTTTCTTATTAATTATTACTTTTTTTTAAAAATATATTTTACCTACTATATTATCTGGACTCAAATTTACATCAATATCATTGTTTGCATTTTTAAAAAATAAATTTACTGATGTTTCATTTACCTTACTGACTGTTAACAAATGATAATTTTTTAAAATGTTCTTATAATGTAAGACTTCAGGGATAATTTAGACTTAATTTTATGTCAATACTCATGAATGTTAACAAAGTTTAAATAACAACTTTGAATTGTAGGCCTATTTTTTATTTTCAGGTTCCAGATAAACCAGTATGGGATAAAATTGATTTCAATAGCTTACCTAAGGTAGTATCACTAGTAAATCATCAAACTTTCTCATATATTCATAAAAGAAAGCGTTGAGTTCAAACATATTTGTACTAGTAAAAGTCAATTCCAATTTATTTTCCTGTTAAGAAATAACTTTAAAAAATAAGAGCTAAACTTTTAATTCAGGCAGTGGAGTAGCCAGAGGTTGTGATGCCCAGGGTCGTCTTGCAATTTGTCATCCCTAATTAACAAAAACAAGTGCACACAGAATACATATAAAATATAATTAATTCAAGTGTTTGAAGTGGACAAAAAAGTATTATCCAGGGCAAACCACCCTCTCCACCCTCCTCTTCCTACACCCAGGGCTTCAGACAGTTGAAAAAAATAAACAAATGGAATAATAACACGCTGAGATTAAAAACTATAATGTTGGTTACCCATTGAATATATTTTTTCAGGTCCCTGAAATTGATCTCGAACTTGTTGAACAGCTAGAAAGAATTTCTTTAGTTGAATTCAACAATGAGGAAGGATATATATCATTGCAGAATGCTGTACGCTCAGCAAATTTGTTGCATGCTATAAATACAGAAGGAGTGGAGCCATTGGATTCAGTTCTTGAAGAAAGGTTTCTATTTATTAAGTCCCCTATCATTCCATTGATCTCCTAATCTTTGAAATTTTTCTCCCATCATTAGTTATTTTCTCCTATCATTAGCTATTTAATCATATCATTAGCTTTTTTTGTCCTACTTAAGATGTTATGATCACATTAATTACAAACTATTTATATTTTTGTTTTAGACAGAAACTCTCTTCAGTTGTGCATATGAACATATAATACTGGGGAGTTCTTATTTCTGTTTTCCTATGTCATTATTGAAAGTTAAATTATCAACAGGTATATTTAACATGTTTTAAACTCAGAATGTTGAATTATATTTGGATATCTTTTTATCTCTTTAGAAAATGATTGCCGATTGTCTTTTTTTAATGAAAAATAATGAACAGTGATTTTAATTATTTTTATCACTTGGGCAGTTGAAATTTAAAAAAGGCTATAAAAAGAAAAATGAATATTGGTTTAAAATTGGATTTCTTCAAAAGATTATTGGTTTTACCAAAGTAGATATCAGATGAAAAATAATCATAAGTGATTTTAATTATTTTTTATCACTTGGGCAGTTGAAATTTAAAAAATGCTATAAAAAAGAAAAATGGATATTGGTTTAAAATTGGATTTCTTCAAAAGATTATTGGTTTTACCAAAGTAGATATCAGATAAAAGAAATATGTTTTCAAAACTTAGACTACTAAATAGAATCGTTTTATTGCCTTCCTTTACTCAGGGAACTTTGGCTACGCGAAGATAAAGTGACTGAAGGAAACTGCTTAAAAGAAATTTTAAGTAATGCGACAAAAGTTGAGGAACAGTATTTTGTAGCTCCACCAGGTGAGTCAGTAAAAAATGTGAACAATGATATAAGACCTATGACATGCTACAAAATTGTAGATACCGGTATCACACAATGTTAACCAGTACCTCGTAACAACAATCACTTTTAAGCTTATTGAATGTTTACATTTCTTAAAACTTTTTTATGAACACAATAACATTCCAAATTTAAGTGAGCATATATTTTTCCTTTAAAACATGCATTTTTTTGTATTTATTTCTTTATATTGATGATGAAGAGGATAATAATGGGGAGACTATGATCAGGTTAGGTAAATGATAATAAGTAGTACAAGGTAGGGGAAATAAAGGGAGTGGGGAGACTTGGATCAGGTTAGGTAAAAGTAAAAGATAATAAGTAGTACAAGGTAAGGGAAATAAAGGGGGTGGGGAGACTTGCATCAGGTTAGGCAAAAGATAATAATTAGTACATGGTAAGGAAAACCTGAAAAAAGGAAGCTGATATTATCACGGAAGTTTTAATTTAAAATTAATTATTTTATTTTCTTTCTGTTCTTATCATTTTAGCTTGTCATTCTATCTTGTAGGTTTTTTAAAATATCATTTTTGTCATGGAACCCAACAATATTTGCTGTACCCGCATTTTAAGTGTTTCTTAGAAATATATTTTATTTGGAAATTGCTTGGTTCTAAGTCAGCATGCAAATGTTGTTATTCAATGTTTCTTACTTAACATTATACGCGTTGTGTCATGATTTTTCTCACAGGAAACATCCCCATGAAACAAAGAGGCAAGCATTTTTTGAAAAGTGTTGTCAAGGAACCAGAGACTTCGAGTTGATATGCAATGTCATGAAAATAAGAGAGAAAAGTTTATGGGGAAACTAGTGTAAATATAATAAAGTGTAATGTCATCAATCTAAACTATATTTATTAAAAGAATAAATTTATCCTGTGAGAATTTATTTTCATTTTTTAAAAATAAATCCTTATAGTAACTGCATCTAGAGTTATCTCATTTTGTTATGTGGTTTAATAATAACTTACCTTTCTGTCGTCTCAATGAATATTTAGAACTATGTTGTTGGAGTCGTCTTTGGTACTTGAAGTATAGGAAGTATAATAACTCTCTGGCAATTAGATAGTTTACCATGGTGTACAATATAGTTTGCCATGGTTTACAGGATAGTTAACCATGGTGTACAAGATAGTTTGCAATGGTGTACACTGGTATTGAAGGCCACTACCTTGAGTTAAAATTAGTGAAGAGACATATTAATTTTATTTATTTGTTTCTTCATGTTGTTAAATTTGGTATGAGATTCTTGAATATTAGAATTAACACTACCAGACTGATTTCCTTATAGTGATAAGATTGTTTATTAGAGCTAACACTGCTAGTTTGATTTCCTTATAGTGGTAAGATTGTTTGTTAGAGCTAACATGGAGAATGGTTCAAGACCACAGTTGGAGTACGACAAGGCTGCCTGCTCTTCCCCACCCTGTTCAACATCTTCCTAGAGAGAATTATGTCAGAAGCTCTGGAAGCACATGAAGGGACAGTCAGCATTGGTGGCAGAACAATTTACCAGCCTACACTTTGCGGACGACATAGACGGACTGGCTTGGAACGAAGAAGAGCAAGCCAATCTGGTAAAGCATCTTGATAAGACCTTGTCGTCCTTCGGCATGCTAATCAGTGCCAAAAAGACAAATCTGATGACAAATAACACCGCAGGCATCACCACTGAAATTAAGGTCGGGGAGGAAAGACTAGAGACTGTCGGCCGCTTCAAATACCTGGGAGCAATAGTCTCAGAAGAAGGCTCCAAGCCCGAACTGATGTCCAGGATTGTGCAGACTACAACAGCACTAAAGAGGCTCAAGAAAATAAGGAATGAAAAAAATATAGCCCCCAGCACCAAAATCAGGCTGATGTGCTCATTAGTCCTCTCCATTTTCCTGTATGCCTGCGAATCCTGGACATTAACAGTGGATCTTGAAAGGAAAATAAAGGCGATGAAGATGAGATGCTTCAGAAGCATTTTTGGCATCTGCTATAGGGACCATATCTCCAATGATACAGTGAAAGAAAGGGTTCGTCAGGTAATTGGGGAGTACGATGACCTACTGGTGACTGTGAAAAAACGCAAACTACAATGGTACAGCCATGTAACAAGGAAACAAGGGCTTGCCAAAGAAATATTGCAGGGCACCACAAGAGGAGGGAGAAGAAGAGGAAGACAAAGAAAAAGATGGGAGGATAACATCAAAGAGTGGACAGGGCTAACACTGGGCGATGCTCTGCGTAGTGCAGAAGACAGAGACGAATGGAGGAGGATGGTTCACATGTCATCTGTGGCGCCCCAACAGTCCAAGGACTAAGGGACATGATGATGATGAACACTGCTAATTTGATTTCTTTATAGTGGTGAGATTGTTAGAGCTAACACTGCCAGTTTGATTTCCTTATAGTGGTAAGATTGTTAGAGCTAACACTGCTAGTTTGATTTCCTTATAGTGGTAAGATTGTTAGAGCTAACACTGCCAGTTGGATTTCCTTATAGTGGTAAGATTGTTTATTAGAGCTAACACTGCTAGTTTGATTTTTTTATAGTGGTAAGATTGTTAGAGCTAACACTGCCAGTTTGATTTCCTTATAGTGGTAAGATTGTTTATTAGAGCTAACACTGCTAGTTTGATTTCCTTATAGTGGTAAGATTGTTAGAGCTAACACTGCCAGTTTGATTTTTTTATAGTGGTAAGATTGTTTATTAGAGCTAACACTGCTAGTTTGATTTTTTTATAGTGGTAAGATTGTTAGAGCTAACACTGCCAGTTTGATTTCCTTATAGTGGTAAGATTGTTTATTAGAGCTAACACTGCTAGTTTGATTT